CTGCTCTAGAGGGTATGCCACACATTTCTGTATCAGCAGAACTGTAAAGCTGTGTACTGTCCTACTTTGAAACAGTGACAGAGGGCCACTACCAAAAAGAGGTTGGCACACATGCATCTAAAGAACTGTAGCACTTCAAAAGGGAGGTCATGACAATGCTGATCACATCACAGCTTTATTGTGACAATGGAAGCCACTATGTGGCATGAATTAATTAGCTCGTCCAACATTAGCTGGTCCACTCATTCCAATTCATGCAGAGCAGCTCCTTTATTGATTAAATGTCCTACTTACAGGGCATTGTAACATTTCCCAGATGCCCTCTCAATATCTAACGGAGTCTCTGGTAGCCATTGTACCTTATTCTTGAACCTGGTAAGACTGTGGCAATTGTGGTCAGTGCCACAAGAGTGATGAATCTGACAGCTTTTTTGTTCTTTCAGGTCTGGCTGGCCAGTTCTTTAATGAACCAAAATGGGACAGTGGGACTCTGGCTACAATGCATAGCTGGGCACTGCAAGCAAGCTGAGATCCATACTGAGGGTATGTATGCGCAAGAGACATTTTCCTTAGGTCTTGATATGACCTGTATTATTTGAAGAACTTTGGTCCATCATGACGCTGAAAGTGCCCTAAAATGCTCATGATTTCTTCTTTATGCATTGATAGAGTCCATGAAAGCAGTGCAAGCCTTCATGATCTTGGCCATCATCTTCTCCTTTGTCTCACTGGTCATGTTCGTTGTGCAGCTCTTCACCCTGGAGAAAGGAAAACGCTTCTACATCGCTGGCACCATCATGCTGGTTTGCTGTAAGTCCACTTCATTCTCTCTGCAACAGATTACATAAACATTTAAAAATGTATATGTGTGTGTGTGTGTGTGTGTGTGTGTGTATGCATGCACACCCTCTCACCGTATGACATAATTAATCCTCCCTTAGTCTCTAGCTTGTTTCTTCAATTATTTTGGTTGTCTTATCTGACCAAAAGGACATCAGTGAACTAAAACTGGAACCAAGTTCTCAGAGATATTTAGACACTTCACCTTCACTGAAATAAACAGAAATTAACTGATCAAAGATTGTTGAGAATCTGTACCTATCTACTTTACTGACTTAAAACAGCTGTGCAGTGGTTGTAAATAATGCTGAGCATCAGCTATTGCACTGCAAGGCAAAGGCAAAGAGAAAATGGAGCCTGTAGGCAGTCCATGTACATCCTTCAGAGCAGATCAGTTCAGAACGTTTTTCTCATCAGAAATGTTCTGATTTTTTTCAATAGAAAGTGACATATTTTGATAAGATTTGTTTTTTGTGGGGAGGGGGCAGATGTCCATTTCATTTGAAATCTTCTAGTTTTAGGCTAAAAAAAATTAAAATATATATTTATTTCTCAAATTAAAAACGTTTAGTTTTTTCTAAAATGAAAAGATTTAAAGATTTTCATGAAATGTGGAGGGAGGGGTTCAATTCTTTATTTAAATAGAAAATACCATTTCCAAACCAACTTTAAATACCTACATTATGTATGTACATGTGTAGAGTTGTACATGTTGATTACAAATATCAGATTGGCTTATTACTCCAGGAAGTTATGCAGACCAGCTCTACCGCATAAGCAAAAGATGATCTCTAGACCAAAACCTGTTAAAGTAACAGGAATCTCTTCTATGACTCAGTTGGAAGAGATCAGATTCTTGTTACATAAGACTGTACAAGCAAAGCCAAATATTGGAGTTGTCCAGAGCTCCCCATTGTAAATTAATAAATTCCTCTTGTCAGCTGTTGGCACCAGATCTTCATCCACCTGTGAGGTATCTACTTATCTGACCCAGCTCACACCCTGCTAAAACACTGACAACATCTACTTCTGCAAAATGCCTTCATCTTCACCATATGACAAGTTACAAAAAGTCATGAGGACAGATCCACCCACCTCTCCTAGGAATGGTTTAGCAAGGTGGAATAGGAGTGTCAGCTAGGTGATATAGGGTGTGGCCTTGGTTATCCAAGAGTCAGTCAGACAGAAATGCTTGCATACAGAGTACAGTATTCTTGAGTAGCCTCACAATTTCAAATCAGCCTGTGATCTCCTTGGACACAGAAAAATATCTCAGAACTTTCCTATGAAACATGCAGGCGGCTGTTTCATAGGAAACATGGAGTAACATCTAACCAGGTAGCTCTAGCACTTCTCAATATAGTATTCAGATGTCCTGCAGTTTTTAAAGCATCTTCCGTTTCCTTCCTTTTTCCACCCCATAGGGCTGTGCATTTTGATTGCAGCCTCCATCTTCACTGCCCGATACTCAGACTATTTCATGTCGTCTCATCATGGCTACTGCTTCATCTTGGCCTGGATCTGCTTTTGCTTCAGCTTCATCATCGGCATCCTCTACCTTGTCCTTAGGAAGAAATAAGGATGACATGAGTTAAGGGTGGTGGGCTGGAAATCAGAGATGGGGAGGAGAAGAAATCACTCTGCTGGGAGAACTGTTTGGCCAATAAAACAAAGACAAAACAGCTACTGCAAGCAAAATAAAAGAAAATCACAGAAATTAATCCACTAGAGAGAGAAGCAGCTCTGCTCTGCCCAGTGCATCGTGGATTCCTTGGTCATAAAGATACAGATGAACAGCAAGTAACCAGCCACTGTTATCCTTGCTCGCAAAGTCATGCTGAAGTTTAAGGAACCATCAGACTGCATCACTGACTCTGTAGGACACCAAGAAAATGAATGCTGCATCTTTTCCCCTTCTCAGTCCCCTTCCTGTTACTTCTTAGTGTGAATTGTGGGTGGAATGGTGAGGTTTAAGACTTCTTTTCCCATGGAAACACTGTCACAGGCCTTTTGTTACATTTTTTATTTAAAAAAGTAAAATAAGAGAGACATTTCTGAGAGTAAGTTAACTGAAATTAGACTAAATTCAAGATTTAAAAAAATTTAAACAGCAATTTCATCACCTTCCTGTTTCCTCATTAAGAAAAAGAGTGTAATTACCATGAATATTTCAGAGACACATTGGGATAGGAGGTAATGCGGGGGATGAAAACATATAGGACGTGAGGGGAAAAGAAAAAGAAGGAAGAAAAGAGGCAGAGCTTTTAATTACAGAGGATGCAGTTATATCTCAATAGTATACATCCCAAGGAGTCACATAAATGTGTCCATTATACTTTTCTGTGTAACTTTATAAAATAGCATCTATACGAAGGCCTCAGGGAGCCCCACCATGTAGCCCCATCCAGCTAAAACTGTAATGTACATGCTGTATACTCAACAGGACAGAAAAGGCTTTCCACTCAGATCATTGAAGAAATTAACTTAGGCTCACGGAATTTCATCTTCTCGCCATTATAACAATCTGTAGGTTATCAATTTTATTTTCATTTGTAGCACAAAATGAGGTATTTATCAACAACCCACTGATCTCTTCATAGAAAGACATTTTGTGATAAGAGCAGAAATTGTGCCAGTCAGGACTCCTAAATTCTGTTCCAGTGCTGTCACCAGCTGTGAGACCCTGGCAAGTCAAGGCACTTGTAGGCAGTAACATCCTCAAAAATTATCACTCAGAAACATTAATTAGCCTGTCCTGAGCATCAGGTAGATGCAGCTAAAGTACTTCTGCTCTGGATGGTAGTGTGCATGGAGCAGTATGGTGTGTCTGAGGGCACTGCTGATAGGCATGGGACATTTACAATGCAGACACTGTCTCAGCCACTTCACACTTTTGCACCTATGATTTCCTAAAAGTAGGCATATACATAAAAACATTTACCAAACAGAGGTGTTGAGTAGCTTTATAAATCAGTGTTAATAAATTGAGATCCCCACATGAAAGTCTGCAAGGAAATATAAACCACTTTTATGCCACACTACATCAAGGTATCCAATCCACATATTTCTGTCCTTTTCTAAAAAATAAACTCCATGGTCTATTTACAAGAGGTCAAGGTTCACCTTGATGATGCCCACAAATAAAAGTTAGGAAACATCAAGAATTTATGGATGCAGATTTAGCAATAACAGTATTTTCTCTTGCTATTTCTTTGTTACATTCTTTTTCTACCAAGGCTTTGTCAATTTGATGGACATAGTCTAGTACTGTATTCTGTTTCTATAACATACTAAGTTTATTGCATATACACTAATTGTAAATATTTTGAAAAAAATGTTTCTAACTTTTGGGATATAAAAATACACACCAATTCCATTTATAATACAGATTTTTGGTTTGATGTTTTTAAGTATTTGGGATGGTTCACTTTACCAGATGGTTTTGATGGTCTCTATATAAGCTTTCGCTTTGGGGCATGATTAGGAATACTTTCAGGGATAACATGTCAGGCTCTCTGCAAGCTCAGGCAGATACCAACATTATAGTTAGGTTCCCTTTCAGTTTTCACACTTTACTTTCCAAAATTATGACAATCACGACTCCAGGAGCTTGGTTCAAGACAAATTCCCACGCTGCATATGCCTGAGTCTAGCCATATGCATCAGTGGGATCAAACTCCCAATGCCAACATTGTGAAGACATAACCCTACACCTTCAATTTATGAGTTGGGTCAGATAACTGACAAGGTTTTTCTACCTTTAACTTTTTTGATTTATTAGAACATAAAATAAGGACCTAGCAGATGACTTACAGAAAACATGAAATATGACCCTGTGAGGTGCCAGCCATTCTTGGCTCACACTATCATTCAAGAAGGACGTGGAGAACCTGGAGAGGGTCCAGAGGAGGGCCACTTGTATGGTTGGGGGCCTCCATGGCCAGCCCTATGAGGAGAGGCTGAGGGACCTGAATCTCTTCAGTCTCTGCAAGAGGAGACTGAGGGAGGTCTTGTGGCTGCCTACAACTTTATCAGGAGCCACCAGCAGGGACTCGGGGAAAGTCTGTTCACCAGGGCCCCCCTTGGAGTCACCAGGAACAATGGCCACAAGCTGAGGGAGGATAGGTTTAGGTTAGATATTAGAAAGAACTACTTCACTGTAAGGGTGGCCAGAGCCTGGAATAGGCTTCCCAGAGAGGTGGTGCTCTCACCTTCCCTGAAGATCTTCAAGAGGAGACTGGATAGGCAACTGGCTGGGGTCTTATGAACCCTGCCACTCGCAGTGCTCCTTCCTGCCCATGGCAGGGGGTCGGACTAGATGATCTGTCTAGGTCCCTTCCGACTCATTGATTCTGTGATTCTATGATCAGGGCCATGGATAGTCAGTTTGATAGAAAATGTTGCCAATCAAATTAGCCATGAAATTAAAATCCCACACCCTCAGCAGGGGTACTTTGGAAAACCTTATCAACAGACAGTAGCACAATACTAAACTTTAATGGCATATGACTTCAACTACCCAGCTATAAAGTAACTGAGACATCACAGCAAGGTCTTAGAAATAACTTGGTGAAATGCATGCAATGTGACAAGATGGGCACGGTCTTTTCCTGTTCCTGCAAAGGTCCTTGAAGCCGTGTTGTGCCTTCTCCTACTAGTATCCCTTGCCAAACTAGAAAACAGCTGAAAGTTCTGAAATTAATTTCCAGCTAAAGTTCAGAGACATCTCAGGAATCTCTTCCAGCTGTGAGTTAACTCTTTCAGATGAATTTGTTTGGACTTTCAAGACAACTGGATGAGTTACAGTGGGAAGGGAGAAGAGAGAGACACAGGCTGTTTTACTGCTTAGAAGACTAGATAGGAGGCTCTGGGGTAACAGAAACTACTACTGTTTAGATTCTATTTCTGAATTTATTGTTTCTCAGGCAGCACAGACCAAATGCAGGTATAGCTTTGGCCAAGCAGTGTCGATTTGGTTTAAACCAAAGACAGAACAATATAACCCAGTCCAGAAGGGATGATCTGCATTTAGAACACCTGACCCTGATGAACTCTCATTATTTTGCCTCTGGTCCTACTATGTTAAGGAAATTAAGACCCAAAAGGAAAGGCCTTCCCTGAATACTGATTAGGTATAATGCACCTTGTACACTCAAAAAAGGAAGCTTAAAAGGTGAGAAGCAATCAAGACTGCATGTAGTCTGCAAAAGCAACCTGTCTTATATGAGAATCAATCCCCAAGGGAAGTTAATACAAGATATAAAAGCCCACCAAAAGTCAATGTGAGTTCTTCCATTGAATTCAGTGGGCTTAGAAACAGGCCTTAAGAAGACCTAACATAAAATCAGCCTTAAAAGCTAAGCGTACTAGGACAAACAATAGGAAAACTTTTAAAACAGAGGAAGGAAGACCCAAGGATATTGGTAAATTCCTATGAGGCAATCAAAGAGGATAAGGAGATGGAGAAGAGGCAAAGTGATTTATTTTCTTCAGATTTCCCTGCAGAAGATGAAGGAACACCCCTTACAAAAACATTTGAAACAAAATCTACAGGAAGTAAAAGTGAGGCATTTCTAGAAGATGGAGGTATTTACTAAAATGAAGTACTAATTCAAGATACTAAATTGCAATAAATCAGCCAGAGGGAATGATAATCATGTGCCATTCTGCAGTTCTTCTGATAACATCTCACAAAGGGATTAGAGTGAAGCCCTCTTGTGGACTGAAAATTGATGTGAGAGCTAGTCAGGAACAAGTAGGGACAAACAATCCAAATTCTCAGAATGGAAAAAACTAAGCCTGATGGGCCTTCCTGGGGATCAGTACAATGATCATTATGTTTCATTATCTGTATTAAGTTCTAGGCAGAGAGACCAAGGAGTATTTGATTAGCTGACAATAGGAAAGATTGTGAGAAGCTACAAGAAGATCTAAAAATGAGCTGTAGCTAAGCAGGGAACAGTAGCAAATGACATCCCTCCTTGATGCGTGTCAGGGAAAGCACTTGGGAAGAAATAATTCCAAGTGCTTATACATGCTGATGGGTTCTGAATTATTTGTAAATTATTATGGAAGAGATCCAGGGGCCGCTGTTGACAGATCAATTAAATGTGCGTGCTCAATGTGCTGTGGCAGTCCCAAAAAAACCCTCAGATGCTAAGCTGCATTAGGCAAGGGATTGAAAATCACACAGAAAATAGGATAGTGCCCTTATATAAGATGATGGTCTGTCTTTACTTTATTACCATGAGCAAATTTCACTCACCTCATAGCCAAGATAACAGTAAAACTAGAAAAGGGGCAGGAGAGGGCGGTACAAATGATGGAAGGCAAAAGGGGCTGCTGTATGGGAAGGGATTTAAAGGTTAAGGGCCAGATTCATCCTCAGAGTAACTCCACTCTCCAGTGGAATGACAACTGGGCTCAGTTTAACTCTAGGATCACTCAGAGGAGACAAAGTAGAACAGGAAGAAATGAAATATCACTCCATGCAAAGCACACCCAGTCTCTGGAATGCATTTCCATAGGAGTTAGAGGTATATACTGTACCTGAATGGGTTTTTTAAAGCAGGTTACATAATCTTATTACCATTTAAACAGGCAGCCATGCCGACTATGATAATAGAAGCAGTCAGGGTGCAGGGTGATTGCCTGAAGAATCAGAAAGGTATGATACTCCCACACCTTTTTTGAGTACTGCACAACTGGCAAGTTCCATTCCTGTGGGCTGTTCAGCTTCCTGGATATTGTTAGAGACATGATACCAGGATGCACCAATGATCTCATGCAGTACAACAAATTCTATGTTGCAGAAGCATCCCAAAGTATGTGGGTATCTGGTCTAAACATACATCTTGCCATTTGTTACAGTGCTTAGAAAACTGCTTGCTTTCCTCTTCAACCTACTGTATGTGGTTGTAAACGGCTGCCTTCTTCTTGTACAACTGCTCTGAGTTTTATGAGCTGTGCATGTGGATAAAGATATCTGTGAGAAGAGAGAGGAAAGAAGGGAGATCAGTCCATGAGGGAAAAGTTTCCCCAGCAAACATCTGCCTCAAGTGAGATTCTGGAGCGTGCTCATTACAACTGATTTACAAGATGATAAAAATCAACTAATCTGATCTACCTGACTCATATTCAGGACTTGGGGTTTGGATGGGAGTCAAACTTGGGGGGGGCTTAACTCAATTTTATCCCAAAAATACAATTTCTCAATTTCATTAAGCAGCATGAGAAACAATATTTTTAATACAATTCCACAACTGAGGATTTTTACACTTAGCATAGTGGCTTTCAGTTGCCTCTATGATATTACCACAGGCTAAATGCCCACTTATACTGTCATCAGGCAGACAGAGAATTTTTAATGTTTGTGGAAAGTACTTAACATTGAGGACACATTGCAAGCATTCAGATCTCCTTGTTGCAAGACAAAACTCAAACAGGATAAGAAGTATTAGCTGTTTGTCCCACTCTACCATGAAGAACATCTGAACGATTTTCCTGGGACAAGCAAGCTGGGGGGTGGAGCTAAGATGATGGACATATGGAACATTATATACATTGCAGGTGACAACCCTCTCTCCAAGGGGGGCCAAGGCCCACGGGCCCCCACTTGCTCAGCACCTCTGAGCTGGTCAGTCCTCAGGACATCCCACAATGCACCATTTGGCCCCAATCCTGAACCCTCTTGAACTCTGTGCAGCCATGGTGACCCTAAAGGATTCTACAGCCCAGAGGTAACCGGCCCCAAGTACCTATCCCCACCTATTAATTGCCCTGTATGATGACCTGCCAACCATTTTGTGCTTGCCAACTACCTGAGATCAGCATTGCAGCCTGCACTGCGAACACCAACCACCGGGGACCTCCATCTTCCTAATCATCCGGCTCTACCATGGCCCCTCAATTTAAATGCCGCACTGTGAACAAGTCCTTGTCCCTTGCAGAATTGTGGTTTGGATCTGTGCCCACACTTACAGACTGTCCTGCCATGCCTCCCTTCCCTCATGCAAGTATGGTGTGCTAATAGGTACCACTTTAGTCAAAGTGGGATATTAATAGAACTACCATGGTCTTTTGGAGGTGCATTCATAATGGTCACTGATCCATCACCATATTGTGGGTCCTAGTTTAGGGAGACAATGACTGATGCCATTTAAGGGAATTTCCACTTAACGTCTCATCCATCCCCCTAGCACAGTGGTTTTCAAACTATGTGGTGCACCCCCTTGGGGGGTGGGGTGTGAAGGAACATTGGGTGGGTGCAGGCAAGAAGTTTGCAAAGAGCTGGAGCTGCTGCAGCCTTGCAGGAGCATGCAGGGGCAGGGAACCCCAAGCTGGCTCCACCAGCAAGCTGTTGCACCTCCAGGAGTCCAATGTGGAGG